TTTTTTTTTTTTTTTTTTTTTTTTTTTTTTTTTTTTTTTTAACCACATTATACTAAAATCGTTGTTCAAATCCTTAAGGCTTTAAATATGTAGTGGAGAAGACAATCTTATCGTTTTGATATCAGTGGTGATAACAAGCATTGCCACGCTGACAGCAATGACTTGGGCACATATGAACGTGAGTGTTATGATGAGGCTTATAGCAGTGATGACGCCCATCGCAATACTTATGGCAAACTTGGTGATGAGCATGAACAAGCTTTTTATGCATATGGCATCCGCTTTGCCCTGAAAATAAGATATTAAGGTAATTTTTCAAAGAACGATTTCTTTTTATAATAATTCGTTCGTCGAATCCCACCTTCAATTCCGTAGAAACACATCGCGAGGATTAAAAGAATAACAGCAGGATACAGTTTTAGTTGCATATTTTTGTTCGGTTTTTTTTCCCCGCTTTGATGTTATAAAATATTTAAGATAATAAGCTTCAACTCCAGATGATTGAGATGATTGTTAATATTGATTTCATCGAAATTGTAAGACTTTTTATACAAAAATATAACAATGGAAAGTGAATGCATGCTACGTACATACAAACGAACGAACGAGCGAGCGAACGAACGAACAGCAAACAATTATGAAAAAACGTATTCGCTAAAATATTGCTTTGTTTAAAAACATGTGGTAAATATGAAACAATTGAATATATATACAAAATAAAAATTTATACCTGGAGTTGTATTATATACATTTCATAATAATAAATAAATTGAAATGAAATTTAATTAAATTTAACAACAAAATTCTTCTTATTTTTTTTTTTTTGCTCTTTGTTTAAACAAAAGAGAATTTTTACTTGCAAACGATCTATTCGATGAAAGTTGCTTTAAAGCTTAGTTAGGCCGTTTTATTGCCATAACATATAAGTAATCTTTGCCGACATTAGAAAGACAGAAGACGAAAAGACGTTAGTACGCAAATTTTCATATCTCATATTAGTTTTTGGCCCTTGACGCACCTCTTAACACAGACTAAGGCAGGAGGTTTGCCTCCATTTGTCTCCAATGTCTCGAAAAAACCTGAATTACTTTGCATCGATCAAGCTATCTAAACTTATGTGGCAAGCGAGTATGGTAAGCTTTGTAGTCAAATCGAGGGAAACATTTATTTAGACGGCTCAACAATGGAACATTCTTGCGCTGGACAACAGCACTATAGTGCCTCTTCTTTTATATTATGTAGGAGTTCTTTTAGTCCATTTCGATTAACTTGTGTCTTTGTTACTCATCATATTGTTACTTTGAGAAATTTCAAAACGTTTTTTCCGACCAGTTGTAGGTAATTGAAATGTGTGAACTATGTGGACTACACACACTTCGTCTAACATATTTTTGAGTTTTAGATAATTGTGATTCAGTTCATCGGATTTTGGAACATGACACGGAGACCACAACTGAGGCAACAACTGCTGGCAGTGTTAAAGTATGTCAGATCAAGCTGAACGAAGCTTAACCCCATAAAAATGTAGTTTACGATCGATCTGGTAATTTGATTAAAGAATATTTAGGCCTTGGCAATGGGCCTAGCAAAACGAACATTGCCTACAAATGCTTACTTGGTACCTCGTGAAACACAATCGATAGCCTTAACTTTGTTCTTGTTCACGCTTGTTCACGCGTTTCAAGGAAAGGCCGTTGGGTTTATCAGACCTCAAAATTTATATAAACTCTTTAATGAAAACCGCTAAGCAGTCCGTTTTTTTGGAATTTAGAGAAGAAAGAACTCAGGCATTGTACGGCCATTGTCATCCCATTAAAAGCGCAGGAGACACGAAAGCATGGCATTGTAAGCATGAAAATTTTCTTGCGAAGCAATGGGTGCAAAGAAATCAAAATTTTTGTACTTACAGCAGTTATTGAAAAGTTTCAGAGTAAAAGATAAAAATAGATCAAGACAAAGGGATTAAAATCGAATGGAGCAACACGAAATATGTCATCGAGAGACTATTTGCCATGAAAATTTTCCGTTGGCTATCCGACAGCGGAAGTAAGTAATGTAGTGGGGAGTTTATGCTTTCTTAGTTTGGACCAATGGCTTGCGAAAGTTAATAACAGGCAGCCTACAAGTGACGTGCGAAGAAAGACTTATGGACTTGGAAACAAATTCCCCGGTAAGGTACATAAGCAAATATCGTTATAAAAAGCATCTAGTTTTCATGGCCGGGATGTAAACAAATTACAGAAGCCCCCCCTTGGCGGAAACCTAACAACGTAGTGTTTGAAATATACCAAGTGTTGAAATTACAAACTAATACCGATTATAAAAAATCAAACGTAAGTTAAAGAACTAAGAAAATTATATTCGGCTGTGACCGAATATTTTATACCCATTACCGTTATCCCAAACAAGACGAAAAAGGGTAAAAAAAACTAAGCTTTCGCGCCGTTGATTTTTCTATTTTCAAAATAAAAGTTTTTATTGCGTAAGTGTGTGGGCGAGTCCTTGGAAAGGTTTAAGTCACTTGCAAATTGTTTTCCAAATTCGTAGACGATATCTTCATTTTCGCTTTCGGGAGAATGTTCACAACAGATACTGCACAGCAGAGCAGTGGGAGATGGACGGACATTGATACTTAGGTGCATTCCAAATTTTGGAACTGACCAAGAATTTACATACTTTATGGGGTTTTTGAAGCTTGTTCCTGCGTGTTATAAAGGTATTGAAAAAAAATTAAATTTTGATACCTTATAATATTGAGCAGGCATGGTCAATTTGTTCCATTTTTGTACAGATGTTACATCAATATGCGTTCATATTTTTATCCATTTATCTACTGTAGTTTATAAGTAACGGGCAAAAAAAAAAATTTTTTTTTTCTTTTAAAAAGCAAAGGTGTCCTCTGTTTACAAGGTACTGTAGGCGTACCCTTCGACCAATTTGGCTTATTTTCGATAACAACCTGCATACAAGAACTTTGAATATTTCTGTCAAATTTGAAGTCGATAGCTTCATTTTTGCGCTCAGAAAAATGTTCACAAGAGATACTATACTGGCGGACTGAATACACGCCTCATTCTTCGGGGATCGTTAAGTTATTTTTTCATACATGTGCACGTATACGTTTAATACAATACGCGTGGATTTAAAAGCACAAGAATATATCTACTCTTTCTTTCATAACCATTTGATACAATGTGACGTCATATCAAGAAATCTGTACCGAAATTTTTTCTTCTACGAATAATGAAAGAGCAAAAAGACAAAAGGCTGGTAATGTGACAACGCTACATCTGTTACTTTACCAGGCAAATGAAAACGCACGCAAAGTGCAAACTCCCCTCCACATATAACTTTTCTTGACCGCTGTTATTATATTATATTTTCTTAACAGTAATTGGAGCAAGTCAATATATAAACAAAGTTTTTAAATGGCTCTGGTAAATATATGAATGAAATCTGCGAACACAACTTTAAAACTGCTGATATTTTAGTCCCCTTCGTCATATTATCTAAATTTCTTAATCCAATGGATCAGTCTACTCCCGACACTGAACAATAAGAAATACATATTATGAAGTCTATTATACTTTTCCCCACTACTGATACATTTTATTGCCATTGAATAACTTTGAGACAAATGCCATGACCTTTGTATTCCATTAGATACCAGTTTTAGATTTATCATCGCTTTTGACTTTCGTATTATTCAAACATCGGAAGTTTTGTTGCCGTTTTCTTTGCCGGTGACGTTTTCACATCAAAATTTTCGATCTCGACATACTCGGCCATTTTTCGGCCTTGTAATCCTCCATAGACATGCGTAGTCCATCCATGTTTCCATCAAATCGTACCTAATTCAATAACGAATTAATTACATAATTCATACATACTTTTAAATCGCAATGCTGTTCGTTTCGGTTGGTCTTGTGAGGCCGAAAGATTGTTAGAAGAGCTACATTTTCTAACATGCGCAGTATTTGTGTATAAGCACATAATCTACGAAATTGAAAAATAAACTTTCAAGTTATAACAAACACAAAGAAAATGATCGGTTAATATTAATTTAGGGTCGTCTTATTAGCAAATTTTTTCCGTTAGACAAATTTAAGACACAATATTCCCACATCCCTAAATGAAATTGTGCAATAACTTATAAAGTTATCGATAAAATCGATGACAGTAATTTTTCCTTTCGCAATGCAAGAAATAATCGTCATCGATTCCGTGTAATAATAACAATAGAATTTTACTTGTGGAAATTTTAACTAAACGAAAAATAAAAAAAATAAAAGAAAATCCAAAAATTTAGTATAGAAAAAATTTTGCATTTTCTTCACAATTGCATTTTACTTCTGATCCCACCATAATGGAAATAGTTGGATTATTAAAGATATTGCTAGCAGTGCTAACGAAAGTTACATCGATTAAATCAATATTTGTTTCTTTAGCAATTGCCGCATATTTTAATGTAATTGGTGTGCACTCACGTAAACATCATTTGGAAGTACAAGTAAGAAATAATTTATGCAAACAAATTTATTTTCCTCATTCTTATTCTAATGGCTTTATCTTCTTTATCTTCAGAATGACGCACGCCCTTACATAGCCCTTAGCACATTCGGCTTTTATACTAATGGGCATTTGAATGTTAAACTCAGTAATTTGTTTATGTCAGAAGAAACGGGAGATGAGTTGGTATGACTTTAAAAATCTTTTCAAAGAAATATTATAAAAAAATAATATTTGATCTTATTTGATATTATGTGTAGTTGGGTTTGTCTTTAGATAAAACGACCATCGATGAAATGAATCCCTATTTAGATTCACATCAAAATAAGTGTCTCTTGGAGGAACTTTCTATCACTCAACACAATGGACCGATATTGTTTTTTGTGTTTGATTTAAAGAATCTTCAGTAAGAACCAATTTTATTAACAAAACTAACACCAATCATCTCCCCGGTTTATTCACAGAGTTCACGTGAAATGTTCCCCAGAATGGCGTAACTCTCATATCTATAAAAATAGTTCTATGTTTCCGATGTATCGTGGTAAACGTCAATCAGCCCACGTCGTAGATTCTACACTTTTTATGGAACCACGGCGCAGACGACGACGTGACCTTGAACCTATCGATAATAAGCATGGTAATGTCGCATCCTTCACTACTGGCGTAATGTTAGATGATAGTTCCTACGACGTTTCGAGAGAATCGGTAAAATACCAGGCAAGTGCTGCTCAAGAAATGAAATATAATGAACCGACAAATAGTCAGGTGATCGAGCACAAGTCTGTTGCTGCTGCTGTTGTAGAAGATAAAAAAGAATTTTCAACTTCAAAAGAGATACCAGTTAAAGTTGATAGTAAACCTACCATAACTATGGCAGCTTCTGATGTAGTATCGTTTAACGAAAATACGCATAATGCTCTTTGTAACAATTTCAAATTACCCTTAACGAAGACTAATATCAACGGTATTAATTATTATAACATGTCGGTAGGTACTGATATGTATGTCTAAAAGTTACTCTAAACTAACGGATTTAACATTTTTTAGTTTTCCATGTTTGTGGCTAATATACATGAAGAAGGTCTTTATAATTTATATTTTCACGATTGCCCAAACTATCATGGAGTCAATAAGCAGGTTTCATTTGCAGTAAGTAGTGCAAATAACTAATAATGAATTAAATTGATTTTATTTAGATAATCTAATCATTTAGGTTGATATTGAAGAAAACAATAATGGAAATTATCTATCAGCGGGTGAGATGCCTCTACCGGCTTTATATTTAATGATGTCTTTACTGTTCTTCCTATCCGGCCTCTTTTGGGTATTCATACTTAAGAAAAGCAAGTATGTTACGTTTTTTTTTTTTTTTTTATAAATAGCAATAACTAAACTAATTCATACTATTTATATAATTTTCAGACATACGGTTTATAAAATTCATTATATTATGGCCGTACTTGTGTTCTTGAAATCTTTGTCTTTGATGTTCCATTCCATTAATTATCATTTCATTGAAATACGTGGTGAGCATGTGGAAGCCTGGGCCATCTTATACTACATAGCACATCTGTAAGTCGAATATTATAATGAAATGAATATATTTCTATAAGCAGGAGAGTTCTCACAATTGTGGAAAACAAAATGCTTAATACATTTTTACATTCACAACCACAGTGTGGAAATGTTATTCGCTAAAAAAAAGAATCGATTAATCAATTCGGAAATCGATGTACTACTGTTGCAAAAAGGTTTGTTTCTTTGAGACATTTGAGCCAGCACTCATAGTAGTCATACATAATAAAATTCAAAGTGGGCAAGACAACAGTAGAACCTGAAAATTTTAATTGGAATGGAAACCAAAGATTTGACTAATAATCTTTAGCTTCCAATAGATATCAATATGGAATATACCATGAATACATATTTCAAGTGTATAAATTTCCAGAAATAATATCCTTACATATTAATATATGACAAGAGGAAGATACAAATCTAGCCTAACAGCGAGTATATTGAATTTGTCTATAAGGCGGAATTTTGACAGAAGTCGTTTGCAGTTCTCTAAACGTCTAGAATTCGCACATTAATTCACAGCAGATATTTGTCCCGAAATGTAGAAAGAAAACAAATAAATAAAAGTTATAAATTAAATTTGAAAATAAAAGTAAATCCATCTATTCCGCCCTTTTACATTTCAAAACTCTACGCAAAAAATTCCGTAGAGCCAAAACATGTAGCGAAAATGACTTAAAAAAAAGTCTATGCAAAATTTTGATATCTAATATGCTACATCCGGCCAGTCACTATTAGCGTCAACCATATGAACGCTTTGGTCGACTCAGGCATTTGAGAACTATAGGAATA